CAATCTGTATAAATATGTCTTTTCCATGCAAAGTTTAAAAGCTTTTTGCGAGCATTCTGTAATCCATTTAACGATACCTTTGCCTTTTCCAAGAAAACTGAAGAGCATAGAGACAGTTTTTATGTCCTCTTCTAGGTGCTCCGCTAGAGTCTTGGTGAGCTTTTCTGCACTGTTTTTCCGTGAGACATCGCGCACGTAGCATTTTGGATTTCTTTTCTTGGAAATCTTAATTTATAGTAATCTTTTGTTGTATGTGATGTTTGTAGGGTGTTTTAGACTCTTAGAACTTCGTCTTAATCATTGAAATAAATGGAAATTCCACCATTTTGTATATTTGTAATTTTTCTGTATTTTAATTCCTATATTTTTCAGTGCAATTACCTTTTCCGAAACTTCTGGGACAGAAGTGTTTTAATCATTCTTCTTGGGATACAAAATGAGAGCTCGAAATCTCGTCTTCTTTACAATGTCAGCGTAGAGTGTCTCTGTTTAATTAAAGTTTCATGTGGGATCCTTTCTGTGGTGAGTTGTTTTAAGTATAAAGCTGAAGATACTGGGACTATATCTGAGTCTGAAATTATTGATTTAGAGCTATCTGAGAAAGATTTCAAATTAGACTGAATATTATTATATTCAATTTCTTTAAAGCAAATCCATTAGTTCGGGTGTTCTCAACCCGTGGTACACATACCACTGGTAGTACGCAAGAGAAAAACAGGGGGTACGCAAAGATGCAAAGTATTTTTAACTACAGTCAAAAGTCGTTAATCCGGACTCGTCGGGACTTCGGCTATTCCGGATTATCGATTTTTCCGGATTAAAGATCATAAGTTTAAATCTGGCAAGATGGCATGCAGAAATTATAAAATTAAAAATATGAAACCGTAATTTATGAAATAAAGAACAATTATGATCTAAAAAGGTATCAAAAAAATAAAAAAAAAAAAAAAAAAAAAAAAAAGCAGCTTAATATTTATTTGTTTACTTTATTAAACATTTCTTTTAATGTAAGTTGTTTAAGTTGCTTCGTTTTTTATGTGATAATACATTCTCTTTAATTCTATAAACAGACATAATTTCTTGTTCAGTTATAAAGTTCCATTGTTCAAGTCCTGTAATTGCTGTGTCTACTGACTTATTTATGAATCGAAATTTTTTCGTTTTCAATAACCTCTGTCACTTTCTTCGCTATCGGAAGCGAATTATAATAACGAGGAATTTGATTTAAATCATATGAAAGACGGAGTACATCGAGATGAAATACTACATTTAATAAGGAATTATAAGCCAAATAAAATAAAAACATCTGCCCTGAAGATAAGGATAGTGCTGACAGATCAACTTCCAATTCATTGCACACCCTGGCATTAAAGATAAACAAAGTTTAGATAAATAAACGTTAAAGTTTAGATAAATAAAGGATATGCCTTTATCCATTTTTTGCAGCAATTCCACTTTTTGTTTAATGAACTTCGAAACATACTTTCGCTTTGTAGATCCTTTACATATTAATAAATATATATTAGAAATTCTATTTCACATAATCGAAAGTTCAAGCTTACTTTTATAAAATTGCTCTAATAGTCTGCAAAAAATAATAAGCCGGATCCAATTTGAAGATTAAGGAACAACGCAATGTGCAACATTAACTGAAATAGATAATAATTTTAGCTTAGCTTATACTGTCCATTGTACATTAAACGCGCACTCGTAAACGTATTTTGCGCACGCGCACAAGCATATTCGCAGCCGTAAATGTCTTACGCGCATGCGTCAACGCGACGCATGCGCAGAGAGTTTGTAGCTTTGAGGTCCCGATTACAGATCATTCCGGATTATGGGTTTCCGAATTAACGACTTTTGACGGTATTAAATTCAAAAATGAAAACTCTAACATCCTGATTCAATTTTTTTTTCTGTAACACTCGTAAATGTTTGCGATATGAGCTTTGGTCAAAAATTATGGTGGTAGTAGTGCTTTGTAAGGGTGGTTTTCAATTTTTGTTTAGATGGTACGCGTTAGTCAAAAGGTTAAAAACCGCTGCATTAGTTTAATCCGGTGAGCTTTTGGGATTATATTTAGTGACCCCCTTTGTCCCTTTGCCTGATTTTGTAGTATAGCACAATTGTTAATCTTATTGTCTGAATTATTAGAATTTAAAAATTTGTCCCATCCCATTACATGGCCGGAAGGATTCAGAAAACTTTTAGAAACTGAAAACAAAGTCATCGAATTAACTCAAGCTTAGTACATTCTAAGTGAACAAGATACGAGATTTAAAGATTTTTGAGAACTTTGAAGGATGAAATTGATATTATCAGACTAAAGACCAAATTAGTTAATTCATAAAATAGGGAAGATTTCAAAATATCAGAAATTCTTCCATCACATCATCAAGTCGTTAGAAGATTAATATTTTATCATGGTGTGAAGCATTCTTATGCAGGAGCTCAGATAGTGCTAAACATAATAAGAGAGAGAGAGAGATTCTGGGATCTCGATGGAAGCAGAACTATAAGATTCATTACTACTATACGAAGTAATAATATGTAAATGTCTACTTATACTGTACTACTTACGAACTATATGAAGTATGAAATGTGCAAAAGGTATTCTCTTAAGAAACTGGACACTATTACAGAACCTATTCCAGGAAAAGATCACGTGAAGCTTCTGTTCTCGAAGTTCGTGTAATGGACCTTGCAGGCTCAGTATACTTGGAGGGTAAAAGAATCATGGATCTGTCTATTTATTTGCACAGACTATCGCCCCGTATACCTGGAGTTTGTAACTTGACTCTCAGCAGAGGTCTTCTAATTAGATCTACGCGGATTCATATCTGGAAGAGGGAGATGCAAAATCATCTTCTGCGATAAAGTACAAGCTTTGTTGGATCTTCAAATTTATTTCAAAATTTAGATTGAAATCCTATCACTGCTGATGCATTTTTTTCACCAAATAGAGTATTAATTTAACCCACTTTCTGGCTCATGGTGTGGTGACTGGTGGGCGGGATTACTAAGAATACTTAAACATTTATTCAGAAAATGATGCGGACATTCCTTAACCATATGAGCAAATGACAACAGTGTTCTATGACTGCAGGTCAGATATCAGTTCTCGTTCGTTAACTTTTATGTCAGCGAGAAAAATAAACTTGCTCCTTTGAGTCCTCCGATGTTTTTCTAGAAATCCAAACATAATGAAATCCAGATGGTGTTATCGTAAGAGCTTAAACAGAAGGGCAAAATACAGACAGCGTTTGCAAGACAATTTGAGGAAAAGATTTCGAAGTGAATGTCTAGGAGCGCTTACTAAAAAATCAGATACTAAAAGATCATCTCAAATAAATATTGGTGACATTGATTTGATTGAAAACGAGTTACGAGAGAGATAAAAGGATCAATTGTCCACTTAAAAAATTATCAAGATCATGCCAGGCAATGATAAAATAACGATTCTAGTTAAACCTCATACTTAGGCTGATACAACGTCTGTATCCATTAGAAATATTTGCCTCTAATCCTATCCTCTTCTCAAAAAAGAACTCTCTTTTCGGCAGGAGATATGTCTATAATACTTAACAACATAAGTCCCGTTACCAGAATTGGTCGAGTAGTTAGTACTTAGATATCCTAAAGGCGAAATGTGTGACTAAAATTACAATTTTCTTTTGTTTAATGAATTGTACTTATATAAAGCATAGGATTCAAATACGATATAAGCATTATTAGCGTTTTAACTTCATCGTTCATTTTTAAATTAGCCTTCTGAGGTCAGATCTTAGCTTAGGCGAAAGGATGTCCGAAAATACCTTCACTTAGTCCTGAGTAAGTAAAAAACATGAAAAGAGAGTATCCAAATTCCGTGGTTTAGCGGAAAATTTATTAAAATCCTTTCGGTAATCTCCATGACTTCCTTTTCGAATTCTAAAAATAACTGTTAGCGATTGAGCTCTAAAGTGAGCAAAACATAGAGATGTTTACAAAAACGAGAGTATAAAATTCCTGCCGAAATAATATTAGTTTTAAGCAAAAGGAATGCTTAAAGAGTGGTACAGTGTTAACATTTTATGCTATAAATAAGAAATAAATATATGTAAATTATCTTCTGATTCAACCTGTGTTATCTGATTGGACTATTTCTTCCGGAGATATCTGACATCTGTAACAAAAGGTTTATGAGTTTGTGACCTATACAGCTGACACAATATACTAATGTTACACGTTATTATACATATTATACATTATTTAAATAATTAACATGTGAGTTATAAAAACATCTGTGCCACAGAAACGGCATAAATCATTGTATTGATACAAAAGTTATTCAAGTAATGAATAACAAAATGCAAATTTCTTCTAAAATTGTATCAGAAGACAATATGTTACACATGTTGGACAATATTTTTAAAAAGATTTTTGTCAACTTACAAAGTAGTTTGTATAGTTCTGCCGATCAAAATAATCTGATTCCGGATAAAGCACTCATAAAAATTTTGCCTTTTGATAGTGTTTCACCCTTTGTTTTATAAATCTAGTTTTTGCCCTTTACAAGTAAACAAACTGAAATAAAAAAATAAATAAAGGAGATACTGATTTATGCCATTTTACCGATTTATTTGTCCCTATTTTTTAATTTATTGTACTTTTGTTTAAAATTATATAAGTTTCAAATTAGCAAATCAAGTTAAGCAAAATAATCATTTCATTTTTATATAGTTTTTTTTTTTTATTATCTTCTTACTCCCTTTGTTATGTAGGCATATTCCGGAATAATTAAATATTAGAAAACAATGAGTATCACGCAATAATTACATCTATAATATTTTTAAATGAATGCAAACTTATTTGAAGCTTAGATTAATCACCTGTAAAAGAAAAAGCAAATGTTAACAATCGCTTCAGGTTTTAATTCTAAAATATTGTAACATCAATAAGTATACGAATCTTTTTTTGGTAATTTTTGCATGAAAATATTTTATACATAAGACATACCTTTTCAGAGCTCATGATTATGATTCTAATAAGAAGCTGGACGGGTTGGAACTCTTCGCAGCTTTAGGCCATGATTCCAAGCATGCAAATGAGACTCATTCTGAAACTCATCATACACCTACAGAGGATATTGAAAGTAAGTGCTTAATTGCTTAATTACCAAAATCACTAATCAGTGAAAATCAAGCTTAATAAATTTAAATAAATATGATTCAGCACATTTCAAGAAAAAAAAGCCATATTTATCGTTTTAATAGTATCAAATTGTTTTGATGAATTTCATTTGACTGTATTAAGGCTAAAGGAGAATTTGAAGTACGGTTTTCACCACAAATTTCCATTGAAATTAGTTAACTACTTCTAATATATTTTGGAAAACGCCAGAATGCAGATGATAACTAATTGATTGAGCAATAATTTTATGTAATTTCATGCGTGATCATAATTAACTGTCTTTCAAGAGTGAAAAATTCTATAATTAACTAAAACTAAATAATTTCCATAGAACATTTAGGGTGTTCAGGAATGACAAATACAGCTTTTATTTTCTTTGATATCAAAAAACATACCTCAAATTACGAAGTTCTTCAGTTCCTCAATCTACGGTAAATGACTTGATTGAAAATCATTTCCAATGTAGTCATTAAACGGTTTTTAAAACACGGAATTTAACTCTTTACCTAAACTAGAAAGAATAAACAATTTGGTTAGTATGATGTTCATTATGCTTCCAAAGTCTAAGTAAAGAATTTCCCACGAATTTATATGTAACATTTGCATGTTTAGATGAAACTATTAACAAAAAATTTATTAATAATGTTTTAAGAAGATTAATTGTAATGAGTGTTGTTTTACATAACGTGTGTTAATGTAATGGGTGAAATATTAATCACCAAATACGTGCTTTTAGATATATGACTTAAAGTGAAACATTCGCAGTTACATTATAAATACTCCATATTTGTCTTACATTTTTAATTTAATACTTTTTGTTACATATTTCCCTTTTTACTCGCATATTTTTACACCCTTACTATTTTACATTTTGTTTAGGCATTTTTATACTTATCGAACTAGCTGTGAGTAACAGAGGCTCATGCTGTGAAACATTTCTTCATAATTTTGAAGTGATTTTCTAATCTCGTGTAGTAATATTACTCAACATTTTCCTACCCCGAGCAATAGAAATTTTTCTTTTCTCTTTTGATATTATGCCAACTTTTGCAACGTTTTTTAAAATTTTATTTAGACATTATTAATGTTATTGTTTTAACCTTTATTTTTCATTATTCCCTGCTTTATGTTTTAGAATTATTTCTTTGTGACTTTTCTCTTGAAAATGCTATTAAAGAAGATACCACGTTAAAAACCTGTTAATACCTATAGCTTTACTTACTTTACACTGGTGTGCAAAAATTAAGGACGAAGTCGAAAAATTAGCATATCAGCTGAACGAAGAGGCAGAGCGGACAGAAAGACCAATCAGGAGATTAAGTAAGGTGATGTATGGTAGCACATGCGCAGATATGCAGGTAGACGTAAAGGGGGAGTGTCTGAGTAGTATAAAGCATGTTGTCGGTGTAAGATCAGTATTTCTGGCAAAGAGATTGCACGCCGTATTGCAGTTAAAATCACACCGAGTTGCTGCCTCAGCGAAAAATGGCGAATAATCAATCTGTTAGACGACATCTGGATGCTTTTACCCGAGGTCGAATCATTGGGAAGTTGGAGGAAGGCCGCAGTGTGACAAGTGTGGCTGCAGAGTTCGGAATTGCTCACAGCATCGTTTCACGACTTTGGAGACAAATTTCAAACTACAGGAACAGCTATCCGGGTGTTTAGTAGTAGTCGTCCACGAAGAACCACATCCGCAGATGACCGGTATATTGCCTTACAGGCCAGAAGAAACAGGCGGCAGACAGCGGGAGAAATCGCTAGACACACGACACAGGCGCCTGGACGACCGATATCGCGTTTTACCGTGGCCAGAAGACTGCACGGTGGTGGTCTGTTTGCAAGACGCCCTGTACGGTGTGTACCTCTAACGCCTGCCCATCGGAGAAGGCGTTCTCTGTGGTGCCGGGAACACTTGGAGAGAAAATGAATGGGGACGAGTACTCTTTACAGATGAGAGCAGATTCAGTCTGAGTAGCGATTCTCATCGCATACTCATCTGGAGAGAGCGGAGAAGCCGCAATCATCCCTCGAACATCATTGAAAGGGATAGGTATGGAGGTGGCGGTGTTCTCGTTTGGGGAGGCATCATGCTTGGTAGTTGTACAGACCTTCACATCTTCGACGCAGGTTCAGTCAACGGAACCCGTTATTGTAACAAGATTCTTCTTCCATATGTGCATCTTTTTAGAGGCGCTATGGTTCCTTTTCATGGACGACAATGCACCATGTCATCGCACAGTAGCTGCCGAACAGCTCTTAGAGAGTGAGGATATTGAACGTATGGATTGGCCGGCACGATCTCCGGATCTCAATCCCATCGAGCATGTATGGGATTTTCTAGGCAGACGCTTGGCAGCTCGTACCTTACCACCAGTAACGATTCCGGAGCTTCGATTGGCGCTGCAAGACGAATGGGCAGCAATGCCTCAACAACTCATTAACACCCTCATTCTCAGCATGGGCAGACGCTGTGAAACCTGCCTAGCAGTCAGGGGAGATAATATCCCCTATTAAAGACCGGATGTTTCTTGCTGGACACCCATCACAGGGAAGTTTCGGCCTTCAGTCGCATAGCGCTCCATGCTACTTTTTCAATAGAGCTTCTTTTTATTCTTCTGATTTCTCTTTTACTAAGTGTTGCTTACGTTACTCATGTCCTTACGTATTTGGGATCTTACGGTATTAAATAAGTTGATTTGGAAAGCTTTTTTACAAAGTTATATTGAAAAAACCGTCTCGTCCTTAATTTTTGCACACCAGTGTACAGAGACATAGCAGGTTTTCTTCTATAATTTATTCCAAACTGGTTGATCTTTCTTTTCCCATTTCTATAGTTAGTATTAGTTCTTAGAAATTATATTATTTTGTATTATTATAAATATTAGAATTAGAATTAACAAAATAATATAAATTACATATAATTAAATATATTATATGCATAATTACGTATAATTTAATTTTATTCTATATTCAATTATATACTATATATAATTAATTATCACAAAATAATTTCTTTGTGAATTAGGTCTAAATTGTGAATTAGGTTCTAAATGTCTTTCTTTGTGAATTAAGGTTCTAAATTTCTTACTATTTTGTCTACTATATATAATTATATTTCAAATATTATAATAAGTTTTTTAAAATTTTACTTCTATTTAACAGTTTGTATGTCAAATGCTATATACGAACAAATCTCTCCTTAAAGAGTGAAATTGGTTCGAAAAAAAGGATAAATAAGTCAACGATTCTAAATATATCGTACTGCGATAGGTAGTGAACACAAAGCGAATTGCATTTTCTTCACAGAGCTGTCAGTCATTGTACATCTATCTACAGTGGAGTGTAAATTATGCTTTTATTGTGAAATGAAAATCAAGTGCTAATAATGAAAAAAGCAATAAGCTATTTTGTTTCAAACATAAGTTGCCAAAATGTAAACACTTCAAAATTGTGAATATCACACATTCAAATGGTATGTATGACGAAAACAATTCTTGAGAAAAATACCTTAGCGAGCGGAACTTGCAAAACGCGATTTCGGATACAGACTTTATCTTAATTATTTCCATTTAATTTATCTAACACTAGAATTTCATACATACACGGTTCAGTGTTCATTCATGCTTCTTATCACCAGTTCTGACCGCAATTTACCAACAATTTTAAAGGATTTCTGTTGATTGAAAATGACGCCAATCATTGTACAAATTGTTAAAACAACTGGCAGTAAAGGACCGTTCAAATATGGAAGAAAGAAAAATCAAAGAATTAATAGAGAAAATATGAATTAAAGTTGGGTGACCTTTTCATATCGGCCGAAGGTGGTAGTAATCAAATTGAACAAGATACGGCGCCTTTAAATTACAGAAATTTAAACGAATTATTGAATAAAATAAAATTTAAAAAACAAGTGTTTATACAATAAGCTTTTGTTTAAATTAAACATGATAATTAATGTACCAAAAGAAGAAAATATCTTATCATATAGTTGAATGGAAATAATAGATTAAATAATTCTGTTTCCAGGTTTCGTCTAAAATTTTTATCGTGAGTAAAAAAAAAAAAGTGCAACACCCAGGATAAATTTAAAAGATAATGGCTTATCCATTTCAAAATGCAATTAAATTAATAGAATAGGATAAATTTAAGAGATAATAGCTTATATATTTGACAAAAATTAAATTGATAGGAAATTGTAAAATATATGAGCTTTTACTTTTGACAACGTAATTAAATTTAAACGTTCATTTAATAGACGCCCTTCGTTTTTATTCGTGATATATAATTGTAGATGGATTCTGCAAACAAAATTATTTAATCTATTATTTTCATTAAGCTATATGACAAATTGCTTTTTTTGTGAATTAAATGTCACATCCATTTTTAAATAAAAGCTCATTGTATGAAATCATTTTAATTGTATTTTACACTCTATTTTGTATACTCAATAACGCGTAATCAATGCGAGAAATTTTAATCATTATTCAAACGCAAGCAATATATTATAAGAAATTTATGAAATAAAGAAAAGTAACTGAACGTAATTCAGAGAATGAAGAAATCATTTGAATGATCAGTTTCGGAAATTGAACGTTATAACAATATCACAATAAGCATTTTACTTCAAGCTAGAATGAAAAAAATTCGTCATTAAGTGTGCAAAGATGAAAAACTTTGCCATAAAGCAGAGAAATTAAAAAGCAGTTTTTCCGAGCTTTTTTTTTTTCTCTCGCCTGCTTCAGACTGCAGCACACTTTCGTAAGGAATGTATAAAGTCGCTCCACTAATATTTTCTTATCATTCTTGTTTTAAAAGAGGGCGAAAAGTTTGTTTTTTAATCTGTGAAAATTTTAAAACTTTCTATCCAATTTTCAAATGTTGAAATCTTAAAATCATGAAAACACCAAATAAACTTAAGAGTCGTGCGATTTTCAAAAATTTGAAAAGAGATCAGAAATT